TCTCATATGAATTCGCAGCAAATGCAAGACTGTAATGTTTAAGTGGCAGACTGCAGATGCTGAAGTATACTAACATCCCATTTGTAGGACTGCTGAGGTAGGAAAGCCTTCAAGAAAGCATTTCAGCTAATAAAATCTGTGCTACCTGGGCCCTTGAAGGACAGGTAAGATTTTTCACTGGGAAAAGGAAAGCATTCTAGGGAGGAGGAACAATACTAATAAAACACACAGGCAAGTCTGTGCATAAACTATTGATAGGCAGAATTTTAGGAAGTAATGGAAAAGTGATTTAAAGTTGGAATAAGGTCCATTTATTATGTGGACCCTTGAAAATACAACAGGGGTTGATGGCATAATAGATACAAAACCTTTGTGGACTTCTCAACAGAGAGGAGACAAGATAAAAGTGGCATTAATGAATTCAAATTAGGTAACACACATTTTAACATTTTCCTTAATTTTATTATCTTAACTTTTCCATATATCTCAGTCACTGGCTGTCTATCAAATCACCAGAACTAAATAATAATTCGGTTTCATGCTAGAGGCACTTTGAGGTTTCTTATATAGCCAGTTGTGTGTCAAAGATTTGGCATTGCTTCTGAGAGCTGGGACTTGTCTCCTATTCAATGCAATCACAATTTTGAAAACTTCTAAGGCAGAGGCTCATCAAGTAAAAAGAACATGGCTATGCGCCCATACTTTAAAAGGTATTGTATAATGGGCTATAAACTCTTCTTTCAGTGGTCTGTAATTTTAATTATTGCTATGCAGCAATTTTCTGCCCGGCCATTTGCATTACTGTATTATAATAGGCGTTACGTTACACCCATGAACACCAAAGAACCACATGCTTCTATCTTAAATCAGGACGACTGCTACTATCACCTGTATCAAAAAGAACACCGGTTTGAGGTTCAAATCACGTTGCCATCATTTTTCATTTGGGCAACTTGAGCAAGTCCCTCCAACTCTGAATGCAAAAAGTATTGTCATCTACAAAAACAAAAGCAGAAACCATAAACCTATCTTAAAGAAGTATTGTCATCTACAAAAACAAAAGCAGAAACCATATACCTATCTTAAAAGGCTCTAATCTAATGAGAAACTGCTGGTGAGAATGCTGTAGAAATGCCAGTTACCATTCACAGCCAAGTGAAAGGAATAAAACAAAAATTCACCTCAAGAAAGATAATTGCCTTTCCTTTTTCTCCTATGATTCTTCTAATCTCAAACCCTTAGGATTAACTGGTATGAAATGGCCGTGGGATGCAGCCCCAGATCACCAACTCAAAGTCAGTCCTACATCTCGTATTCAGTTACATATGCTAAACATAGTGCCTAATACACAGTAGCCCTACTCAAAAGGTAGTTGTCATTATTACTTAGTAGCACATTGTAGTCAAGTCCTTAAAATGTTTTCAAGTTAAGGTTAGACAACCAAATTTATTGCCCAAGTAAATCCTTTGGCTGAGAGTAGACAATTCCTTTAATTCATTCATTCAACAAACATTGACTGACTGCCTAATGTATGTATTTTCATGGAAAACGCATAGTATGAAAAAACTAAGTGCTATGGGTTAAATGTGTCCCCCAAAAGTTCATACATTGGAAACCTGATCCCCACTGTAATAGTGTTAAGAAGGTGAGAAATCTGATTATGGTATGTGAAAGGTAGGGCCTTTGAGAGGTGATTGGATTGTGAAGACTATGTCCTCATGAATAGGTTAATCCATTCACAGTTAATGGGTTAATGGCTTAGTGGGCTATCATGGATGTGAAGTGCTGGCTTTATAAGGAGAGCACATGAAAGAGCTCTTGCTCTTGCCGTTCTTGCTATGTGATACCCTGGTTGTCATGAGACCCTGTAGAGAGTTCCCACCCAGAAGAAGGCCCTCACCAGATGAACCCCTTGAACAATGGACTTCCCAGCCTCCAAAACTGTAATAAATAAATTTTATTTTCTTTATACTTTACCCAGTTTCAGGTATTCTCTTATAAGCAACAGAAAACAGACTAATACACTATGCATGGCTTGCAAAATTTTTCTCCACCAAAATAAACTAGTACTGACTTATTATAACATGTCTGAACAGGATCTAGTTTGACGCACTAAGAAGGGTAAGACATCAGTTTGAAAAGAGCCTGTATCAGAGCCACATGAATCCTGTAAAACTGAAGCAAGATCAAACATCAGATTTATGGTGAAGCTTGGGTGGAGGAATAGTGAGATCACTGATGCTTTATGAGAAGTTTATGGGGACAATGCCCCAAAGAAATCAGCAGTTTACAAATGGATAACTTGTTTTAAGATGGAATGAGACAATGTTGGAGATGAAGCCCACAGGGGTAGATCATCCTCATCCATTTGCAAGGAAAAAATTAATCTTGTTCATGCCCTTAACAGCAGAAACAACAGCCAACACCACAGACATCACAATTGGTTCAGCTTATACAACTCTGACTGAGAAATTACTATTGAGCAAATCTTCTGCTCAATGGGTGCCAAAACTGTTGTCCCCAGATTAGCTGCAGACAAGAGCAGAGCTTTAAATGGACATTCTAAACAAGGAGGATCAAGATCCCAACGCTTTTCTTTGAAGAATTGTAACAGATGAAACATGGCTTTACCCACAGATTGAGAAGACAAAGCACAATCAAAGCCATGGCTACCAAGAGGTGGAAGTGGTCCAGTCAAAGAAAAAGTGGGTCGGTCAAGAGCAAAGGTCATGGCAACAATTTCTGGGGGATGCTCAAGGCATTTTATTTGTTAACTTTCTGAAGGGCCAAAGAATGATAACATCTGCTTATTATGTTTGGAAAAAGTTAGCCAAAACTTTAGCAGAAACATGCCTGGGAAAGCTTCACCAGAGACTCCTTTTCCACCACGACAATGCTCCTGCTCATTCCTCTCATCAAACTTGTGAGAGTTTTGATGGGAAATCATTACACATCCATGTTACAGTCTTGATTTGGCTTCTTCTGCCTTTTTTCTGTGTCCCAATCATAAAAAAAATCTTTAAAGGGCACCCATTTTCTTTAGTTAATAATGTAAAAAAAGACTGCACTCACATGGTTAAATTCAAAGGACCCTCAGTTATTTAGGAATGGACCTAATGGCTGGTATCATGGCTTACAAAAGTGTCTTGAAGGTAATGGAGCTTATGTTAAGAAATAAGTTTATTTAAAAAAATTTTTATCTTTTAATTCCATTTTTCCCACAACCTTTTAAAAGTCCCTTCATACTGAGTACTGAGCATCAGTCCAGCAGTGCACAAAATAGGAGTCTCTGCCCCTGTTCTACACTCTAGTGGGGAGAAACAACTAAATAAGCACTATTTTAGATGATGACAAGTGCTAAGGAGAAGGAGACAGGGAGTTATAATTTTAGATAAGGGAGACAAGAGAGGTTTTAATGAGGTGCCGTTTGACTAAAGACCTGAAAGAGGTGAGGGCAAGCCACACAGATACCTGGGGAGTGAGTCTTCCAGATATGATTACGGATATATTTTGAAGGTACAGTTGACAAGTTTACAGACAAATCAGGCACATAATGTGAAATAACAAGGAGTTAAAAATGGCTCCTGGAGTTTTGACATGAGCAACTACAGAAATGTATATGCCATTAGCTGAAATTAGTAAGACCCTGGGATTAAGAATGGGGCCTGGTTTTAGACATGCTAGGTTTGAAATGATGGGACATCCCAGGGGAGATGCCAAGTGATAGAGTTTGGATGTGTTGTCCCCTCAAAACTCATGCAGAATCTGATCCCCAATGTGACAGTGTTGGAAGCTGTTTCAGTCATGGGGTGGATCCCTCATGAATGGATTAGTGCTCTCCCTGGGGGAGGGGAGCCTGAGTGAAATCTCACTCTATTAGTTCTCACGAGAGCTTGTTGTTTAAAAGACCCTGGTACCTCTGCTCTCTCTCTTGCTTCCTCTTACATTGTGATCTACTTGTACCTGCTGGCTGCCTGCCGCTTTCCACTATGAGTAGAAGCTGCCTGAGGCCAGTGCCAGATTCAGCTGTCCCAGAACTGTAAGCCAAATAAACCTCTGTTCTTTATAAATTACCCAGTCTCAGGTATTTTTGTTATAGCAACACAAACGGACTAACCAAGTATGCAGTGGTTATACCAACCTGGAAGCCAGGGGAATCTGGCTTACAGATGGAAATTTGAGAAATACAACATATAGGTGGTATTTAAAGATGTGAGTGAATGTGAATGGATGAGCTTACCAAGGGAAAGAGTATAAATAGGAAAGAGAAGACATCCAAGAAATAAGTCCGGGGCAACTTCAGCATAAATCAGGAGCTGGGAGAGGATGGAGAATCAGTCTAAGCCTGAGCAGGAACAGCTAGGATATAGTGTTCTGGCCAAGGAAGAAAAACGTTTCAGGATATAGAGTGATCAGCTGAGTTGAATGCCGCTCCTAGGCCAAGAAAGATGAGGACTGAGAAATAACCATTGGATTTAGCAATGTGGAGGTCACTGCACAGTCCAAATCAGATTTTCAATTAGTGAACTTTGAACCTGAGGTTTACTTGTACCTTTCCCTCAAAAACCAAGCTATTCTCCAAAATTCATAATTTGATCTTTAACCTCAGATCAAAGCATACGCCAACTGGTATTATACCTTGCTCCAGGCAAGATGGTCCTCCACACTGTCTATGGAAAGAGCAATCAACTTAACATTCCTCTTGGCAAATTCTGGTGCCAGCTTTGCAGCTCTGCCAAGCTCCGTGGTGCACACTGGGGTAAAGTCCCGAGGGTGGGAGAAGAGAATGCCCCATCTGAAACAAAGGAAAAGAAGGTCACAAATGAATGATGAGTTATCACCAACATCATGTAGAATGGAAAGCCACAATTTTTGGATCAAAAACAGATTTTCTTTTCTAAATGAATTCTTATGAAGATATTTACTTTTAAATTTTTTTGTTGAGAAATTGCTTTTCAATCGTCTTACTTCCAGAAAAGCCTATGTTTACAGTCCAATTCAATCAAAGATATAAAATTCAAGATGACAAATATTTAAAAAGATTAATTTTAGGGTGTTGCCTCCCTTAATAACTATGGGGCCACCTTGACTCCTTTTCAGCTAATAAAATCTATGCTACTCTAGCCAAGTGACTTATTGAAATAACTTTTTATTTCTTCTTATCCTTTTCTACTTTTTTTTCTAGCACAGACCCTGACATTCAGCTCCAATAATGGATGTCCCACTATGCCCCAAATCCAAACAAGTGCCTGATTGCAATAATAAACAGATTATATAATCTGAAATGGATAGGTTTCTGTCCTCTATTTAAATGTACAATTGAAATTGATACTTGGGGCCAGCTCTGTGGCTCACTCGGGGGAGTGAGGCGTTGGTAGCGCTGAGGCCGCTGGTTTGGATCCTATATAGGGATGGCGGGTGCGCTCACTGGCTGAGCGTGGTGCAGACCACACCATGCCGAGGGTTGCGATCCCCTTACTGGTCAAAAAAAAAAAAGAAATTGATACATGGCTTCTTTGAAGAAAATAGATATAAAATCTTTTGTAAAATGACTTTACTCATCTAACTTGCCAAACAGGACACCCAATATATGTACCCTGCCAAAACAATAGCACTTTAACAGTTTTATTTATATATCTCTTCATCTACAGTTTCTTCTTTTTGCTTCAGACCAAACAAGTAGAAAAATGACAGCCTACAATGTAGATTTCTGCAACTATAGATTCTTGGGTAAATACTAATATCTAAATTATCATTGCCCAAGGTTTAACTTTTACAGATTTTGATCATGTATCAAGATTTTGATCATGTACTAAGAACTCTGGAGTACCTTTTCTTTCTCTTTGGCAATAGAAACTACTCTTTCAACTGAAAAGGAAAATTTAACACTCAGTTCTCCATACTCCCAGAGACTTAAATCATCAAGGCAGGATCCTAAACTAGTAGATTACTAAATCTAGCTTAGATGCTAAACTGACCTCTCCAAAGTTTGGCAAGTTTCCCTGAGCACAAAGAACCGAGCAGAGACAGGGGCACTTCCTTCCCACCTGCATCTGCCACTCAACTCCCAGGATTCAGGAAAGGAAAAGATCTTACAAAAAGGATGGCAAAACTGGGAAGAAACAGATATTTTTAAAGATTGTGTAGGTGTGTGGTATGTGTACTTATTTATAAAGGGCAATAAGAGGGACATTTATATATGAAATAAATAATATAGCTATGAGTAAAATCTAGGCCTTAGAATCTATTGAAATTGGGCCGGCCCGGTGGCGCACTCGGTAGAGTGCGGCGCTTGGGAGTGTGGCGGTGCTCCCGCCAAGGGTTCGGATCCCATATTGAGACCAATCCGCTCACTGGCTGAGTGTGGTGCGGGCGCGACACCGAGGGTTGCGATCCCATTACCGGTCACAAAAAAAGGCAAAAAGGAAAAAAAACAAAAAAAAAAAAACCAAAAAACTAAGCTATTTACAGTTTACTGATTCGGAAGCTGTAAAACAAGGGCGATACCAATTTACTCCTAGTCATAATGGTATGATTGCCAGTCATGGGTCACCAATTTGGCTATCACCAGAAAGGCCATATATATGCTGAAAGCAAGGCAGAAAGGGGAGGGGACAGTGAAGAGCACACCACTAGGAAACAAAAGGGTCTCAAAGTGGGGAGGTACACGTGTCCTGGCGCCTGCAGGGCCTACTTGGCCTACACCGACAAGGGCAGGTCACTGCAGCTGAACCACCTCAGAAAGTCCTTCCTTCAAAGTGTTGCAAGTCTGGAATGAAAGACACACCTACACACAGAGTGTTCTTGGTTCCTCCCAAAGCTGTTACAAAATCATATCTCTTTCACTGGAGGAGGCTCTGGACAAAAAGTCCTTCAGCCACTTGCTTGGCAGCTGGTGGCTTTAAATTTTACAGTTTGTGTCCAGAAGCCTGCAAATACCACTTCAGCAAGCAGAACCCTCGGATAACACGCCAGGCCCTCCCCTAACCTGCAGCCAGCAGCTGCGTCCTCCCCCTTCGGCCCCCCAGGGAGCAAATTCCAGAACGGAGGGAGGGAGGGCGGTGCGACTCTGGGCATGAGTCCCGGGAAGTGATCACCAATGCCGCCCCGTACCGGCCCCCGCCAGGCCTCGGACTGACCACGCTACTAGCACAGTTTATGAAACTGAGTTAAACAGACAACCAACCCTCCTCTGCACCGGCCTGGAGTTCCCAGGACCTGCAGGACCCAATTTCATCCCCCAACCCCCAAGCCAGCGCAGCCACGCCGGGGGCCGAGAGGAGAGAAGGGATCAAGTGACCTGCGCAAGGCGGGCCGGAGAGTCACAGGGGTCACACGGCGAGAGGCACGTGCGGGGACCGGTGGGCGGCGCGCAGGGGGTGAGCGGTGGAGAGGACGGAAGGCAGAAGAAACAGGGACGGCACCTCCGAGTCTGGGCGTAACCGAACCGGGGCAGGACTACGCCGTGGCCACTTACGAGTCTCCCAGAAAGTCGTGGAAACGGATGCGGCCGACAGTGGTATTGGCCTCGAAGTTGGGAGCCTCGTCCCCGAGAAGGAGACCTCCGGGCATGGCGGCAGCGGTGACGTGGGAGGATGAGGAGGAAGCAACCAGCTTGCGAGCTCCAGCGATGAAGGTGCGGGTCCCCGCGCTCCAAGTAAGTGAAGCCACGAGGGGCGGGGACTGGGATCTGGTGGGCGGGGCCGGGACACGTGCGGGGACCGGTGGGCGGCGCGCAGGGGGTGAGCGGTGGAGAGGACGGAAGGCAGAAGAAACAGGGACGGCACCTCCGAGTCTGGGCGTAACCGAACCGGGGCAGGACTACGCCGTGGCCACTTACGAGTCTCCCAGAAAGTCGTGGAAACGGATGCGGCCGACAGTGGTATTGGCCTCGAAGTTGGGAGCCTCGTCCCCGAGAAGGAGACCTCCGGGCATGGCGGCAGCGGTGACGTGGGAGGATGAGGAGGAAGCAACCAGCTTGCGAGCTCCAGCGATGAAGGTGCGGGTCCCCGCGCTCCAAGTAAGTGAAGCCACGAGGGGCGGGGACTGGGATCTGGTGGGCGGGGCCGGGAGGCGGGGCCGCGGAACGAGCGAGGGGCGGGGCGCGGGCGGGACAACGGCCCGTACTGTCCAGGGCGCCGCCAGACCTCTGAGCTGGTGCTATCCCGTGGACGCTAACGCCGGTCTTTCCACACGGGACGCGGGACTCAGTAACGTCGCCCCCTGGAGGCCTGGGGATGCGCAAGGTTTGGCCTGTGTAGGACGCTGGGGCTCTGGGGGTGAAAGGAAGCGGGACGCAGTAGGAAGGGAAGCCCCAAAGCGGAGAATCGCGGGGCCGTCGGGCTCCGGCAGCTTTGCACAGCCGCCCTGGGCGCCGCACGGGTCGGTGCAAACCCTCCTGACTGCTACTTGCGACCGATTCCAGACCGAGGGATCGGGCGACTCCTCGACTCCCACCCCTCTGAGTGTGAGCGTCTGGAGTCCTGGCCGCGCCCGCCAGCCTAGCATGATGAGCTGTGTCTCTATCACAGGATGTGGTAATACACAGACCTGTGGGGGACCGTACGTCAGAGGAAGTGGCTTTCTTGCAGCAAAAATCCCCGTACCAGTGTCAGTGCTAGGGTAATGTGACCACATTTTTATTCTGCGTCCCCGCCCCTCCCACGCCCCCCCCCCCTTTACTTATGAACCATAAAATTTTCAACACAACTGTCCGGAAATCTAAGTATAAACAATACTTATTGAGACCTACTGTGTGCAAGTCGACCCTGTCTCCCAAGGTGGTGGGAGTTTTGGATTCATCTATTTCCTATCTATGCCCCAAGCACAAGATAGACAAGATGCCTGTTCTCTTGGAGCTTTCATTCTAGTGGGAAGAGACAGATGACAATCAACGCATAATTAATAAAGAATATATTAGAGATCATTAAGGCCTATTCAGAGAAATAAAATAAAGTTATGTGCTAGAGGGTGACAGGGAGTTGCGTCGGATTGGGTGGTCTGGTCTGGGAAAGCTTCCAGGATAATATAGGTAAACTACTCAGCACACGGTAAGTGCTCTGGAAATGGTAGCTATTATTTGGATAATGACAATGATTCATGCAATAACTTGCTTTGCCTGTGTGCTAGATGCTGTGACAGGCCCGGTGATACAATGGAGAGATATAGTCCCTGCTCTTACAAGGAAGACAATTATAATACAATGTAGGGTAAACACTGATGAGGGAAGGTGCAAACGGTTGGAGTTCAAAGGTGGGAAGGGTTCTTGGGATGGGGCTTGGCTGGCATAAGGGAGGTGCATGGCAGTGTTGAGAGTAGTGAGTCACATACTGTGATTCACTTGGTTAGAGTGTGGTGTTGGTAACACCAAGGTCAAGGGTTATGTTCCTTGTACTGGCCAGCTGCCAATACATAAATACATAAATACATAAATAAATACATAAATAAATAAATAAATAAATATGATTTACATACTGTGATTTGAGTTTTCTTTATAGAGATGTGGGGTGTGTGTGTGTGTGTGTGTGCATGCGCACTTGCATGTGCGTGCTAATCATATTTACCCAGTTCTCCACTAACAAAGACCTGCAGTAACATTACTGGTAAGATTTCAAGCTACTCTAGGAAACTCTTTAAAACTAATACAACTTGGGGCTGGCCCGGTGGCGCACTGCTACAGTGCGCGGCTTGGGAGTGCGGCAGTGCTCCTGCCGAGGGTTCGGATCCCACATACAGACCGGTTCCCGCTCACTGGCTGAGCGAGGGGCGGGCGCAGCACCGAGGGTTGCGATCCCGTTGCCGGTCCTGGTCCGGTACGGGCGCGACACTGAGGGTTGTGGTCCGTTGCCGGACACGAAAAAAGACAAAAAGGAAAAAGAAAAAAAAAAAATAAAAACTAATACAACTTAATGTCTAGTTTAAGTCTAAGGTTTGTTTTTTTAACTCCTTTAGTAGGAGAGAGAGAGAACTGGGAAAAAAGGATAGTTTGACCTTAAGGCACTATTAACAATGTGTTGTGAAGATAGACTAGAAAATGGGATACACCATGAATATGGAGAATCAACACAGAAACAGATTATTGATCTCTACCAAAGGCATAATTATGTAACTCTCTGTTGTAAATTAAGCAAATATAATATAATAGGATAAATGCCTATTAGAATTTATAGTCAGAAGCCCCACGCTGGCAATGCTTCTGCACTCTGAAAACTTGTTTGCTTTAGCCTTTGCAGCATTTTAAGTTCTTTTGAATTAGCTGCCAACATTTTAAAAATATGATTTTTCACCAAAATATCTGGATTTCTGCCTCCTGAAAAGTCAGAAGATCTAGCAACACCAGGCCCCTGTTCCACTTGGCAAACTGGTTGGAGAGCAGCTGTTATGGACTGATTGAATTATGTTCCCAAAATTCATATATTAGAAGCTTAATCCCCACTGTAACGGTTGAGGATGGGAAATACCATTATGGTAATTGAAAGGTGGGGCCTTGAAGAGGTGATTAGATTGTAAGACCATACTATAGTGAACGGATTAAAAATGGTGGTCATGGCGTACTTCTGAAGTCTTTAAAAGAAGAGCACATGAGAGGTTAGTTTCTCTCTGCTCTGCCATTTTCTGCCATGTGAGACCCCTGTGTTGCTGTAAAGCCACCACCAAAGAAAACTCTTAACAGATGTGTTCCCTGGACATTGGACTTCCTATCCTCTGAAACTGTAAGTAGTAAATTTTGTTTTTTTGTAATTCACCTAGTTTCAGGTATTTTGTTACAAGCAACAGAAAAGGATTAATACAGTACCCTTTTTAGAGTTTGTATGTTCTCTGTTATTCAGACGGTCCCCCATCAGCTACCAGTTCTGACATTTCAGAAGAATTAGGAGGAAAATGAAATAGTTCTTGCATCCCTATCTCTCAAAATTGTGAAAATGAGAGGTTGACTAAGGCCTGTATATTTCAAGAAAAAATCAGATAGAATATATTTCTTTGTGTAAGAATGTTCCCATGTACTTAATATGCAAATAAAGTCAGCAGAACATTGTCCTGCCTGGCCCTTGTAGGTAACTGAGTTTAACCTCTGACCTATACCCAAGGTATATGCTCCATCGACTGAGCCTTCCCAATCCAGTGGGAAAAATGTAAAGCTATTTTCCCAAGTGCTAGTGAGAAGTGCAATGGGAAAGGAGAAAAAATGGAGGGGTAGGGGAGACATTCCAGGGAGAGACCAGAATGTGGAAAAGAGAAAGCTAAGCTAAAGGAAAGATTTATTTTGAAGATAGGTTGGAAGTCTGATATCAGAAGAAAATGTTTTCATAAGAGTTGGAGAGAACCTTGAAGTCCTAAATCTTCCAAGAGACAGGAAGGAAAGGACTGCAGGGATTTTCAGAGGGCTATGACTTTTGGCTGATTCAGATAGTCTCTTTTGTCCTTACTGCTTTGAACAGATTTAAGGAAAAGGTGAAGGGATTGGCAATGGCCATTTGGAAGAATAACAGTGTGGTATGATATCTGTCTCTCTCACTCGATTGTGAGCTCCTAAAGGTTTGCCTATATTTTATTGATAAATATTTGTGACCTGTTAGACATGAGGACCAAATTGCACAAAATATTAGAGAAGCGTTTGGCTTCCTTCCTGCAGCCACAGCAGCAAAGTTTCTGGTCTGCCTATATCTGGGAGTAAAAGAGGCATGTGTCTCTGGTTATAATTGTAACTAGGCAAAAAAATTCTTTTGCATGTGGGAGGAGGTACATAAAATTCAAAACTAATGTTAGGATGGTGCAGTTATGTTTTTTTTTAATCTTACAAACTTTTTTCTTAGATTTGATTGTCTTTTCAGAAAAGAAAAAAAAAAGTCGTCTGGAGGCACAGGAAACTGTACATACCAATTAAAGCAGTGCTGTCAACCTGCTGTGTGAGTGGGGCTGATAGTCTCTCTGCTGCTCTTCTTTGCCACTCCTTCCTATTATGTATACTATAGGACTTCTGCAATCTGGAAAGAAATCAAAGTAGTAGATGCGGGAGTAAAAATGACAGACAATAGCTTTTAAAATGCTGGGATGATAAATTACTCTCAGAGAGGCTTTGGAGTAGTAAATTCTTTTTTTTTTTTTCCTGCACCCCCCCCCCCCCCCCCGACCCCTGCTTGGGGGGAAAGTTGTTTTTTTTTTTTTTTTTTTTTTTTT